AGGGAAAGATATAGTGAGGAACTCTGGATGCACCAACTAACTAGGCACTATCCACATATATGAGACTCTTCAATTATCCATGAAGAATGGAGCACAGGTGAAAATCTTGTTACTCTATATTATCAAAAATCTCAGATTCCCAACACAAAAGCTGCCGACAAATAGTTTTCACATACTTTGATCATAATACGTACAAGAAAAACCCTAACATGCCACCAGCTGCCACACACTGTGCAGACAAATAGCCGTACAAACTGAATATTCTCTTGATCTTTGCTATAACTACACATGATTTCTGTATGAATGTTGTATTATAGGAAGCATTATAGATGCTGAAGAATCCCTCACCAAAGTTTTACGTAGTTCAATAATCTAGATATATATAATTTATATGCTTAAAGAATCAAGTGTGCAGTAAGTTTTGACAAGTGAGTGGAATAATCACTTCAAACCAAGAGTTTGTCTTCAATGACTAATATATAACCCACTTTAGTGTAGAAAAAAGAAAAAGAAAGGTTCTCATTCAAATTGCTAATGAAATTCCATTTAAATAAACAACCGACAAGAACATGTGAGGTGATGGGAGGAAGCACAAAGCTCAAGCATTTGCCTAACCAAACAATAATAAGCAATTTATTTATTTTTGGATTAGCACAATAATAATTAAGCTTATTATAAGTATATACGAGACTAGTCACATTTTGAGGAAGGAATATATGGGTACTGTTTCACAGAATTAGATGCTAGACAACATGATCTGATCAAGGTACATTATCGACAGAAATTACATGTCTCCATTTCCTATTATATATGTACCTTGTCGCTCTCCAATAGAAAATTGATGACTGAAAAATAATATTCTTTATCCTATTTGTTAGTTTTTACTAAAGTGTTAATTTTCTATTAAGGGAATGAAAGGAGACGTACAAGGAAGACAAAATATTTGAATCGATCCGTACTTGACATGGTAATAAAACAAAGTGGAGAAAAAAGACATGTATATCCAGTCAGCCTTTGCATGGAAAGATCTTCTGTATCAAACATAGCAATAAGTGGGGTATATGGAGGTAAGGATGGTGGGAAATGTTTAAGGTTATAACATAGGATTAAATATATAATTAGCATCAGGTTTCTTCAACATTTACTCCAAAGAGATTCCATACAATCATGACTTTGTTAGTATTAAATTATGAATTAAAAACGCGTTACAAAAAGCATCAGTTTTCTACATTTTTATATATTTATAAATAATTTCAATGTTAAGTAGAACCTTAATCAAATGCTTTCAATCATTGGTCTATTTGATGCTTCGAAACTTAATAGAGAATGTCGTTTCACTTTGAACATTCATGGGACAGAAAATCTGCAGAATCTTAAAAGGGCAAAAATTTAGGGGAAAGCTAACCTGCAAATAACGAATATATAATTAAAGTTATACAGATCACACTGTTTTTGTTGCATAATAATTCTATCTTAGTGAGTATTAGAGCGTATGTGCGCGGGGAAAGGGATCGAAGCATATATAATCTTTCTAATCTCAATAATCACCATTATAAACTCACATTTGAAACCTAAAATTCAAACAACGTTGTTAAATCTTCTGTGTGTAGTTGTAATATACCTAACCAGTGTTTCATAAGCTAATTGCAATCCGTACAAGTATTTTTTTTTTTTTTACACGAGGATCGGGTGTAAAAACATTACTTTTAACACAATAATGTTATAATGATAACTAGTTATCATTGCGATTTTGTTAATTCATATTTGTGTCTAGAATCCAAAATTATAAGTCCTGATTAATAAACATGTTTTTAAAAACTAAAATCACCTATTCCACATGCGTTACTATAGTAGTAAGTTTTAGGTTATGATATAACAAGTGATTCTAGATAACACTATATTTAATTACGATAAAATTTAGATATAATACTATATGTATTATTAGTGTTATTTTTTAATTAAAATTAAAGTTTCACTTCGATAATATATTCTATAGACCCAATAATATAAATTTATATGCATATTATTAAAGTGAAACATCAATTTAGATCGGAGAATAATACTAATGCTACTTATTGTACTGTTTTTAGGTTTTGTCTATTGAGTTAATCATCCTAAGCAAAGTCTATGATCATGAGTGATGCAAGCAAGATTAATTAATTACCATCTGATATCACTTGAAAGGGATGATGATATTCAAGAGAAGTGCATGGTGGAGGATGATTCATCATTTCCCTTGCCTTGATTTGTGCCCTTCTTTTTCTTCTTGTAAGGGATACCTCTAGCCTTGGCTTGGCACTCCCTAACCTCTTTAAGGTACACACGGATTGAGCCACTTGCAAAAGGGTTGGTCTCAGGGGACCCACCATTTTCCTCATAAGCAGCCCTGAGCCTCCCTATGAGAGCATCAAGGCTTCCCCAAGCCTGTCTAAGGGGGCAAGTGCAGGGTGCTGGAGGTTCTGGCTGGCCATAGAACATGCACCCTTGAAGGTGAACCTTGGTCTTCCCAAACTGGTCAAGATACCTAAGGAAATCCAACACATGGTTACAGTTGCACTGAGAAAGTGGAACTGGAGGCCTTTGGTTCTTCAAGTACTGACCAAAAGTGTTCCAATCTCTTCTCTTTTGAGACTCATAGCGGCTAAGTGTCCCTGGACTCTGTTGGTAATGATCTGTTGGAGAGCTTGATCCTTCTCCCAAATCCTTGCCACTTGAAGACATAGTGTGATGATGAATGATGAAGATCAAGAGGTTTGGCTTTTGTAGATTAAAGGGAAGGGAAAAGGGGAGGTGAAAGCTAGGTGAAATGAATAGGAAGCTAGGAAGATGGGGATCATGTCATTGGGCCAATGAGTAGACATTTTATGGGCCATCTTAGTTGCTTTCTATTCATCTTTTTCTTCTCTCTTTCATATTTATACTCCTTTTTTTGGTAGTGACATTAGCATTTAATTATACGTTTTCCCTATAATCATACAATTATTATTTGCCATTTGTCAACAGACACGAACCTTATCGCCTTGCTTTCTAAGCTTATTTACCATTATTGCCCTAACTAAATCAATCCAATAGGACTAGCTTCTAACAACCCACCTTTTTGATTGTTAAGTTGTACATCTTCCATATGCCAAGTGAAGTATATAAGTCAACAAAATAATACATAAAAGGGTTTCATTTATTTTTTCAGAAGACAGTGGGAGTTAAGTGCCAAGGCTTTTCTTTGGTTCTTTTTTTTTTTTTCCAACTTATCTCCTTATTTAGGTAGCTTATGTAAATTAATATTGTGAAAATCAGTTTTGTTTTCCTAATATATATAGTAAAATGCTTTCCATACACAGTCAAAAATTCAACTATACTCAACATATTTATTAAGGACACAATAATCAAGTTTATTTTCCATCCACGTGATCATAAATCACACTAAAATTTTGTTGGTTCATTACTTTTTTAAACATGGCAAATAGAATCTTCGCTTAATATAATTAGTGCAACTGATTAATTATAAAAGGGAAAATGATCGATTCTTATATACATACACAGACAGTATGTCTGTACTAAAAGAAAAATACACGACAGTATGTGCGACATCTGAATCGTTTATCACACATAAGCGTGACTTATTATAGTATTACTTGTATTAAAAGAGTATAAAAGTTAATATATATATATATATATATATATATATATATTGTTGAAAAATGACTAGTTTTAAGAAACTAAAGCCTTAACTTTTTTTAAGTTAAAAATTCTAAGCTTGATATTTTTAATAAATAAGATAATTGTCTGCTCTTGATAAGCTATCTAACCTATTTTCACCCTTAATTATAATATATAGACTTTAAATGGAATTAAAGTACATATATTATTTATTATTAAATAAAAGATTATATATATATATATATATATATATATATATATATATATATATATATAAGGAGCATGATTTTGTACAAGAATTAATATCTGCCGTGTTGACGTTTGAGGCCACTGTGATGGTTTGTCATTGTTGCTGGAATGTCCATATATACAAACCCTAGCGTAGACTACATATATTATATTTTTGTCACATTACTAATTAATCAATATAGGATCTACAAAACTTATTTTCTTTAAATATATATACTTAAATAATTTTTATTATTTTTCTTTATCTCTCTTTTTCTATCACTCATCGTATCTTTATTTTTCTCCCTTAGCATAATGAGGTGTCCCAAAAACATTTATGTACGCAGAAACAGTTTTTATAGCAGGTCTTTTTGGGACAGTTCTTTGAACAATGGGATGGTATATGCCACAAAATATTTGGCCGTACCTCCTTTAGCACGCAAGATCTTGTCTGTAGAACTCTTCCCCATATTTAATTTCTTCTTTGCGTAAGTAAATGGCTTCGTTAGCTTCTTGGTGTACTATATATATATTTTTTTTTCAACAGTATTAAAAGTTTAAGTGAAATTTAAGTAAGAAAAAGTTGGGATAAAAAATAAACAAAATTAGATTTTTCGAATAAAAACATAAATTTACTATGTGAGCAACCAAATTGATGTTTATTCTTATCGAACGGTGTATTAGTTTATTTAGCTACATTTATTTCATGTTGAGTTGGATGACATTTTAATCAAAACCTCTATTGAATCTAAAGCTTCGGATAAGCTTTTACGATGAAGGAGAATCGAAAATATTAAATGCACAATTTATATTTAAATTAAAATACATGTTAATTGAATGAGGATCTAATTACACAATTTATATTTAAATTAAAATACACGTGAATTGAATAGGGCCAATAGTTTCATTAAATCAAGTATTATTCTAATTGCAGACTTTTTCTTTTTTTTTTTTAAAATAATAACAGGAAGCAATCCATAATCAGTGGAATTTTTATTGCATCTTGGTGAATTAAAATTTTATATATATATATATATATATATATATATATATATTCAGATTTTTTACTTTTACTTTATAATATTAGCACCATATTTTTATATAAAAACGTAATGATAATAATAATAGTAACATACAATCCATTTAAATATATTTAAAAATAATGAAATAAATAATATTAAAATCCCGTTATGAAATTCATACTCATCTTAATAATTATATATTTTAATGTTCTTTTAATTAAAATTATCCAAAAAAGTTTCATTTGATAAAAAAAATACTTTTAAAATAAAAATAATCAAACATAAATCAAGTTATATTAAATCTACTTTTAACTAAACTTAAATTTATAAAGTTAAGTTTAACTGAACTTATTTTGTAAACTGCAATCCAAACACACATGTACTATTTTGTTTTAAGTTTGTTCATAGTTTTTTTATTATTATTATTCATTTGAACTATAATGATATAAATAAGGGTTTAGATATTTTACAGTGAGAGGTTATATTGATTAAACAATATTAGTAAGAGAATATACTTCAAAAACTAATGTAAAAAGTTACAATTATCAATATAAAAAATTAATAACTAAGATTTGAACAATTAAATAATATATATATATATGTATATTCATTTAATTAATGATAATCTTAATGTTCATTTTTATTCAATGTTTTTAACTTTCTTTTTAAAGTGAATATCTTTGAACTAAATCTTCAAATAGTTGTGAGTAGGAGCCTTTTTCTCAATGTTCAATTTATTGTAGCTCATCATTTCCCATTTCTGTAATGCAAATAAAAGATTAGGTAAGGCACGTGATGAAATTTTGGAACTAATATCCTAGTGTGGCATTTTTTAACACATATAAAGCAACAGATTAATTCTTTCTTGCCATGATTTAGAAAAGAAGGAAGTTAAGGTACTCATCAAGTTTATTTTATTTAGAGAGTACACATCAATTTGATGGAGATCCAAAATCCGAGCAATCTTGTGAAATGAGGGCCCCATTGATGCTCTTGGTCAACAAATTAAGTCAAATACACTAAGATTTCATTCCATATTAAATATTATCAGTGAGTTATATGAATTGATTCAAATTAAATTACTGTTTTGTCTACAACACCTTTTCTATTTCCAAAATATAAGGAGGTAATACAAGTTGTGTTTTAAAAAATATATCAAATTAAAAAATATATATTTGTTAACAAAATCGTTCAAAACTATATATTTTGAAAAGAAGAGACAGTCCGAATGAGGTTTTGAAAAGATCTTATGAAATATGAGATGATATTCTAACACAAAATTGACCAAAGAAGAATATACTTAAAAATAGTTAGAAAAAAACTTTTATCCTTTTTGATAGGAGAAAAAAGGAATAAAAGTAGGAAAAAATTAAAACTAAAAAAAGATTTATCCATTATATATCTGTGTGAACTGACAAGATATGCAAAAGCAAGGCATTCAAAAGTCTAATCACCATTTTCGGGCAACAGGTACGTGCAGAAAAAAACCAACCTCCCAATCTCTTGAAACTTCTAACAAAGTTGGAATTTACATGAATTAAACCATAAGCCCACCCAACAAAACAACATATAGAACCAAAAAGTACACGTCATGAATTTGTAACCGATTGAGTCCATTGAAAAAGTACATCAATCTTGCATCGAAATGAGCATGCACAAAATTATTAGGATATCACACATTCACATAGTTTCAACTTTTAAGTTCAATACATTTTTATAATTTTGATGAATACACTATTAAATAAAGCCGCATTAACCAACTGCTTCATTGGATATAAACAAGTATCCTTAGTCAAATAGGGATTGTTATACTCTAAATAAAAATCCCAAAATAATGGTAAAATAGAATTCGGTCTTTTTTAGATTTGACTTATCATTAATCAAATAAAAATAAATTAAATCAGGTTGGATTATCAAATAAAAGTAGATTAGATATTTTGGTCTATCCAAACTAAAGATAGATTGGTAACCCAACTAATATAAAAAAATTGAAGAAATAAAAAATTAGAAAGAGACAATTTGACCAAAACCATTTCAAAGGAATAGAGTTTAACCATTCAACTAGATAAATTTAATATTATCAATTCATCAAACATGAAAAATAAAATTCGAACAATAAATCCTATCTTAATTGATGTGAGCAAAAATAGTGTGAAATTGTTAATCATAAATGATTATTAATGTTGTTTTTATTCAAATTATTATTACATTCGTCGTAAGTTGTAAGAGTAATAACTTTATTGTCGTCTTTAGATCTCATAAAATTTTGTTATGGAAACCTTAGTCATAAAGAACACACATCATTTTCTAGTTTTAACTTAAATTGTTGGCATTTTAGGAAATATTTCTAAAAAAATTTATATAAACTTAATATAAAAAAAAAAAGATGGATAAACAAGTTGGACCACAAACCCTAATCTATTTTATCATCCCCAACCAATGTTACAATTATTAGCCATTAATGCATAAGTAGATCCCCTTCCCCCACAACATGCGTCTACCATTTGAAGCTGGCTTCCATATATAATGCACAATCAAATAGGGTTAAGAATTTGTATTATGGGTAAACTTGGTTGTAAACATGATGAATCATATATTTATAAGCTCGAAGATAGACCTCCACATGGAAAACAAATGTTGATGAACTCCATAATTATTAATTTATTTGTATTCATCGATTTGAATAACTCAATTGACATATATCACTTTCGAATTATCGAACCCACCACATCTAGAATGTTACAATTGAAAACTGAGGTATTCCTGCAAATGCACTGAACCCACTGAATATTGTGGGGACTGACGTGTCTTCCTTCCACTGAAATAAATATCCCAATACACAGCACCGACACTTATGAAACAATAGTCAGAACACTAGCTCAATTTTCCACCCACACACTAGCCACACCACCACCATAATAATTTTTGCTACAAATACTATTCACATTCA